AATAAAATAAAATAAGCAAATTAATTTAAAATGTAATGAAATCAAGTGAAAAAATAAATAAATAATAATAAGAGAAAATATAATAAAAATAAATAGATTAAAACAATTAATAAATAAAAAAAAGCCTGTCAAATGTGTTTTTTAAGTCTTTCACTATCCAGGAACTTGATGACTTTGGTAACGATTTCTTCTTGATTTCCCAGGGATGCTGATATATTCTGGGGTATTCCAAAATCTTTTAATCTTGCGGTGTAAAAAGGGCATTTTTCCAAAATATGTTTTATAGTTAGTGATTGGTTACACTTTTGACATCGGGGGATAGAATCTTTTGTTATGAGGTGGAGGTGAGTCAGTCTAGTATGTCCGATCCTCAGCCTACCTCTTCTCTACGACTGCTGCGTCTGGAGCTGGTCCACGGTTGCACCTCTTTCTTTATTGTTTTCAATTTGCTAGGTGCACTGTTGTCCCACCGTCTTTGCCATTCTTGGAATATGGTTTCTCTCAGAGGTCGTGCGAGTTCAGATGGTGTCAAAAAAACTTTACCGCGGCCTGGAAGAGTAAGAGCTTCCTTTGCTGCTCTATCAGCCATTTCATTTCCTTTAATTCCTATATGGCCAGGCGACCAGATAAAATGTGCCGTTGTTCCAACTCCATGAAGCGTTTTTATAAGACTTAGAATGCAGTGTACCCCTGGATGGTCTGGATACATGTTATTCATAGTTTTCAGAGTACTTAGGGAATCCGATTCAACAACCACATTTGCAAATGGCTTCTTCATGACGTATCGGAGACTCAGCAACTTTATTTTTTACATATCTGAACCCCTATATACAAGTTAAAAAAATAAAAACTTTACTATCATTTTTCGCAATGGAATTCCCGTTTCGATCCTCAAATTATTGGTCCAATATTCTCTAAATCAGCTGCCATTTTTTAAAGAAGCGGCTCTGTAACCGCTAATATATCAAGTGACAAAATAAAAAAGTCTTTAAGTTCTTCCATGACAAACCTACGAGTTGACTTTGATTTCGATGAAACTTCTTTCACGTTTTAGGCAATTTAAATATCTTTGAAACATTTTATTACAATATCGACAAAAAAGCGTATACTTTTTGAGTTATTCGGAATTTAATTTTAACATCCCTCGTAACTTTTTTTCCAGCTGCTTTTCGTTGAAGTATGTTATATAGACAAACATTTCGATTGCTTTCAGTTAGAGTGTTTCTTCCAGTGCTTGTTTCTCTAAAGTAAAAGCACCTGTTTCTATAGGAAAAATTATTGTTTCTTCTATCGTTTAATTGGCCTACAATAAAAATTTCACTACTGACTGGACGCAAAATTTGATGCTCTAAAACTTTGATTCTATGGGTTTTTCCTCTTTGGGAACTCATTTCCAAGTTACAGGGCCATTTATAGTAATTAGTCTTACTTTTTGACAAATAATCAGCCTTGGTTGACCATGGTTTTATACCTTACCGCGTAACCAAATTATAAAGTTCATGTACTTGTTTGACGCAAACTTTAACGTTTTTTTAATTTATTAAAGAATATATTTTTCGATTCGATGCATCGTTTAAGAGTTATAGGTGAAAAAGCAAAACAAATCGAAAAAAAATGTATATTTTGGATGTAAAATGTTTTCCCTTGGTGGCCCGCGTTAGCAATTTTGTTTTTTGCATGTCTGAACCCATATATATTCTACCCCTTTGTTAAAAATGTAGGCTTTTTCATAGATCAAACCCTTTCCTGGAATCACCATATCTCTCATATCTTGTGCAATTTCTACCCTCAAACTATTCCATCACTTCCGCCATCTTCTACCCCAAAATACCCGTAGACTCCTAGTTTCCTCTCTCATCTTTCCCCACTTTGACTACAGTTGTGTGGTGTACGATGGCCTCTCGGTGGAACTCCGTGATAGACTAAAAAGACTTACGAGTAGTTTCGTAAGATTTGTAATTGGGACCCCGAGACGCTCCCGTGTCTCCCACCACTACACTGAATTAGGGTGGCTCTTCCCCTCCTTAAGAAGACAATATTTCCTAGGCACATTCCTTTTCAAATCATTACCGATCATCGTCCTTCTTATGTCTACAACCTTCTCCAATTTAAGTCCTCAATCCGTTCCCTCACTACACGATCTCGACCCTCTGACCTATACATCCCTTCTCATAGATCTGCCTCATTCCAAAACTCTTATATAGCTCGCTCTGTCAACTTTTAGAATTCCCTCCCGATAAAAATTCGGCATGTCCCCTCCCTATACACATTAAAAAACCTCCTATTCCAATTCCTGTTCCAAAAACAGTCAGATACTAGCTAACTATTAATACTGTATATGTATTGTGTAGCAATCATATAATCATATGATAATACTTGGTAAGAGATAGTACATGCAACTAATAACTAACTTTTTTAACAATAAATAACTAACTTTTTTTTATACGCACACACACACTCACACACTCACACACACACACACGCACATACACACGTATATATATATATATATATATATACAAGTTGTTTTATGAAATGATTTCTTAAAGTACCCTCAACCCTTATATATAGTTTTGTTCATAGTTTCAAGTGATTCGTTCATAGTTTTAAGTGATTTGTTCATAGTTTTAAATACTCTGTTCATAGTTTTATCTGTATTGTATATAGCTTGTTCACCTAAGGTTTTCTTTACTTTTTAGTTTATTTTATCAATTTTATTTATTGTTTCAAACTTTTAGGCCAGTAATATTCTATTCTTTTGTACAATTTTGTTATTCTGAAGGGACTTAGTCCCATAATAAAGTGTTTTTTTTTCTATCCATCTATCTATCTATATACAAGTTAAAAAAAATAAAAACGTTACTATCATTTTTCGCAATGGAATTCCGAGTTTTGATCCTCAAATTCTTGGTCTAATATTCTCTAAATCAGCCGCCATTTTTTAGAGAAGCGGCTCTGTAACTGCAGACAAGGTTCTTTTTACTCAAAATAACACAAACATTCGTTATTTACAATCAAACCTTCGCCTGCGATCAGGTATATGGCTAATATATCAAGTGCCTATATATAAAGCGACCAAATAAAAAAGTCTTTAAGTTCTTCCATGCCAAACTTACCAGTTGCCTTCAAAAACCACAACAAATTATCCAACACTTACACCCGCTTAAAAGACCCAATCGCTCTCCAACACCCATCAAATGTCGTTTACCTCATCCCCTGCTACATCCCCAATCGTAACTCCTCTTACATTGGAGAAACCAGAAACCTTCTTTAAGACCGCATCACCTAACATAAATATTCTATTTCGTCCGAAAACTCTACTACCTCTAAACTTTCCGATCATACCCAATCCTCCAGTCACTCATTTGACATTGACAATACATCTATATTATCCACAGTCCCCGACCACGACCAAAGACTAATCGCCGAAAGCGTATTTATCCAATTAGAAAACCAATCAGTCAATCGAAAAACCGAAAAAACAAAACTTGTCCCTCGCCTACTCTCAAATTCTTAACCTATCAAACAACAATAATGTATCAATGGTCTTCTTTAGATGAATTTTAAATTATGCTTGGTACCAATTATTGTTCTTATTTGTGAAGAATTGTAATATCTCTCAAAAAATATAGTTTAAAAACAAAATTCCAATTTTATATGTTCTGACAAGAGTTTTTAAGTTATGGCCAATTGTTACTTCGTGTGTTGTTAAAATTCTTTGTTAATTGTTCTGCCTAGAATAATATGAAAACTCAGTTAAATGAAAGTAAAAACGCTGCTAATTATCACACAATTTTTTATTATTTCCAAACAATTTAACATCAAAATTAACATTAGTTTCTATCTAACTTGAAGGAAAATAAATAAAAGCTAATTACTAATATTGGCCTAAATATTATTTTCATCATTAATAATTTGATTTAAAAAATAGACAACATTGCTTTAGTTTATGTAAACATTTCAAAAAAATAAAAAATTAAAAGATATAATCTTTGGAATAGGACATGTGAAAAATAATTAAAACACCATATCTTTGTACCGAATTATCCAATTTCAATTTTTTTTTTTTGTTTTTGATTTTTAGGAAATTTCTTAATCGTTTAAAAAATCATCTTAACTAATAATGCTTTGATTTTCGTGTGTTGTTAAAACTGTGTGTTAATTTTTCTGCTTAGGATAATATGATATCTCAGTTAGTTAAATGAAAATAAAAACGCTGCAAATTATTTCAAAATAGGACATATGAAAAATAATTAAAACACCATATCTTTGTTACGAATTTTCCAATTTCAATTTTTTTTTGTTTTTGATTTTTAGGAAATTTCTTAATCGTTTAAAAAATCATCTTAACTAATGATGCCTTGTTTTTTAGAAAATTCCAATACTTTTGAAACTTTTTATGATAAAAATCTCCAAAAAACGTGTACACTTCTTGAGTTATTCGGATCTAGTTTTACAACCCCTTTGTAACATTTTTTCCCAGATTTTCGTTGAAGTACGTTGCATGGATAAATTTAAAGGGCGTCGATGAGAAGACCTTAGCCAAGTTTCATTGAAATTGGTACATTCGTTTAGGCGCTACAGTCTATATATAGCAACACAGTTTTTTTGCCGTCATCTTGGAAGAAAAGGGCGATTAGTAATGTCGAGGTAGGGTCATCATCGGTCAACCTCTTGCCAAAAGCTTAGAACAGCGGGTGGACAATTTTTTTTTCGAATTCTACGTATCGTAAAACATAAAATTTCAATTTTTGAATGGGGTGTGTTAAATTTTGATTTTTTTTTTGTGCAGTTCTGGAACATTTAATTGATGAGTAAATTGTTTCCCGGGAAAATTGGATCAGGATTCTATTGGTGTCAATCTACAGATAAATAAATAAACTCTCTAGTTATTTAGTAAATCTGTACTATCTACTAAATGCTATAGGCTTACATTTAGATTTAGTTCAACTTAATGCGGACGAAATTGCCAAAGATGAGATTGAAATGCCGGAAGCTGTTCAGTAGGAAGCAGTCGAACTGCTGGCTGGAGTCCAGAACTCTAACACGATCCTGGCGATGTAGATACCATTGGCTACCTCGACAGCGAGCTCTGGCTGCCAAACTGCTAACCTGCTGCTGCTCAGGTTGAATCTAGAAATCCTGAATCAGATCTCATCAATACCTTCGATATTGCTGCAATTACGATCCTAGACCTGATTTTCCTTCCTCGGTTTACTTTCTAAACTAGGAGAAATGACGTGATGTAAAAATAAAAGTATGTTATAAATAGGAAAAACCAAGGTGTGTGCTTTAGACCACACTATAAAAGTGGAAATATCAACAAGGCGAGATTAATAATATGAAATATTTTTTTTTTATTTCTAAAATACATTACAACTGTATTAAATAAATACATCTAGTGAATTAGAACATAATGTATATAATGACATGAAAAACACTTGTTGAGTAACTACCCAATGGTAGCACTCTAATGATATGTTTACATTAGGAGATCACGGGGCCATCTTCTTTTCAGACGCCTCGGAGGGTTATCAGGAATTGAAGAGGAAGCAAGGTTAGAAACGAGAGGGTTGGAATGATTCTGAAGTTTATTATGGAAGGATAGGTATCTGGATTGGGCCAGGTCAGAAACAAAAGGAACATTAAGGTCATTATGGATGGTTTTATTTGTAACAAAGTAGGGAGCATTGAGGATTTTACGAAGGATTGGATACGAGAGGAATTCGATGGTTTAGTGGAGCCCCATAGCTCAACTCCGTAAGTACAAATAGGCCTTATTATAGTCAAGTATATGAGTCTTTTGTAATTAATGGGAAGTTTAGAGCGTTTGGATAGTAAGTGCTGAAGTAATCGGAAACGTCGAGCGGTTTCTTGTCGTTTCAGTCAAGTATGAGGATTCCAAGTTAGTCGTTTGTCCAGGTGGAGTCCTAGGTATAATATGAAATATAAATTATAAATAGTACCTCATTGTAAAAAGGATGAAATGCTAAACATTCTCTCGCTTACAGTATGCAGGCCCGATTTTTAGATTCGGATATATTTTATTCCATATGTAAAAAAAAATTCAATTAGTCGACTATAGCCGGATCAATCTTATTCACTCTCCACAAAAAAGTGTAAAACGTGCCTAAAGAAGTTTTCATTTCAAAAATCCAAACAATAAATCAGAGAAACGTTATATTAAACAGCTGATTAGTAGCAACAAAATGGGGAAAATACGTATCCTTAAATACAATTATACTTAAAGCTGTTATTATGTTATTAGAATGCTACCAGTATTTGTTTTTTTCAACAAGCGATTTCATGTTATCATATTCTTGAGTGCACATTTAGTGGAAGTATTTTTTTAATACAGTTTTAAATATCATGAATGAATAAAAAAAATATATTTTGTCTTTTTATTTATTTTATGTAATAGATCTTTTGGTCAGAAACTATCGGTTTTTTTTCATTTGTTAATCTTAAGATTTTCCTAAAATAAAGTTATTTTTCTATTCTATCCTAAAAGTAGATTCTCAGTCGTTTAAAATTCTTCTACTGGCCCTAGAATTTGTCATTTTTCGAAGGATTGAAAATCCCTGTTCCCTCTTCTTCCTCCATTATAATCTCATCCACTCTCTTTTATTCTCTCACACTCTTTCCCTCCCTCTCACACAGAGAATTGGAGGGAGGAGGTAACCGGGAGGTACACACAAGCTGGGAGTTAATGAAGTCCTGATGAGCAAGCCCTAATGATCTTTGCCTTATGCTCGTTGCACATTGGAACATCTCAACAGGAGTCAATATTTTCTTTTGAGTGGAAGAAAATCTAAATATAACAATCATTTGTGTGCTGATGTATTATGTATTTTATATATTGACCATACCTGAAGGAAATACAGAAAGTATAAAAAATGTTATAACTGGTTCAGAAAATATAAGATAAATTGTTTAGAGCTAATGAAAAAATAGAATAAATAATGAGCTTTATTCTATCCGTCAAACAAAAACAGTTTATATAAAAAACATGTGAGTAGAATATTCTGATAACGCATTTTGATTCTAATAGGTGATAGTAAATAAAATGCTGTTTGGAACTACAAAGATTTTTACTTTTACCAATCCATGTATAATGTATAGTGAAGATAATAGAAATATAGGGATCGTGAATAATTTCAAATCCAAATTGTCAATGGTTGTTCATTCTTTAATTTCCCCTAATCAATAATCAAGTCTCGCAAAATATTCTGTATATTCAAAAAAGAAAATACGTACACCATTATTATTATATTGCGTTGACAAATAAGTCCTTTCGATTTTTCAGGGTGAAATGAAACTCAATTGTTATAGACATATAATATTATAGACATAAAATTTATTTTAATCAAAATATATTGAACATTATTTAATATGATTTTTTCCCCATCTTTTCACTAACTGAATAATGCCATGTTCATAGAATGCCTGTTTTTTGAATGAGTTTATTGTTAAAAACTGATCCAAGTGGTTTTTTATGTTCTCTTCCTTTTGGAATTTCTTTCCATTCATGGAGTTCTACAGAGACCGGAATAAGTGGTAGTCACTTGGAGCTAGGTCTGGTGAATAGGGAGGGTGGGGAAAAAGGTCCCATCCAAGGCTCAATAATTTATTGCGAGAGACCAATGAGTGGTCTTAGCTTTGTCTTGGTGGAACACAACACCCTTCCGGTCATTCATAACTCTTCAGGATGTTCTCCAAATTCGATGTTACTATATCCGTTTGAAAGCTGAATTATTGCTCTTCAAAGGAGTATGAACAGTGTTTTGATTTAATGCCTTCATAAGCAATAAATAAACAAAAACTCCTTATAGGTTTTTATTTTTTATCTGCATTTGTAATTTGTTTACGAAGGTCTTGTTGATGTAATTTTGTGTAGTTTATGTTACCCTAAATTTCTTCTATATAAATAAAGGCGTATTGAAGTTGTACATTTTTTTGTGATTTCATAAAAAAATCACGTGAGAGAGTCAAACATTAAGCCTTGAAACATAGCCGAACTTGTGCAAATCGTTTTCTATGCTTGTGTGCGACACATTTAGGACCATAGCAATCTCTCGCACTGATTGGGTTGAATTTCGATCAACAATGGCCTTAACATCGCTCGTTTCAATTTCATGTGGGCGACCAGACCTTTGAGCATCATTGATGTCAAAATTTTCTGAATGAAATTTGGCAAACCAATTTTGACAGGTGCGTTCGATTAATACATCGTCCCCATAAATACTGCAAACTTTTCTATGAGCTTCTGCAGCACGCTTACCTTTTTTAAAATAATGCAACAAAATATGCCGCTAATGAATGATATTTTCTTCCATATTCAGAGTGCAGTAGCAAACACAATACTAAGCTAGTTTCAACGAGAGTTAACAGTTATAGTTGTTGACATATTACAAACAGGATAAACAATCTACTTTAGCGATTAATTCATCAGATAAGAAGTGTATCATAGTGACATAAAAATAAACAGAAAAATCGAAAGAACTTATTTTCCAACCCAATATATTGTGTTATAATGGATGTCCCAGAATTTTTTTTCGCTGAAATCGACTTAAAGTTTCTTATTTTTATCTTGAAAACGGCACTAACCATTATAAACTTGTTATATCCATGTCAAATTTCAATCAATTCAATCCATGTGGACAGCCAAGGTCAAAAACGAAAATACATACCAAAGTGAAATTGTATATTTAAGATATTTACATGCCTGGAATGTTTCAGAAACTTTTTCGTGAAAATCGGCTAACCGTAAGTGGCACTTTATGTCATCCATTTAACGCATTTTTTGGATTTTCTCTAAAATTTATTTAACAATTTTGATTAAATTCATTACATCAGTATAAAATTAGTAGTTGTTTATATTGTATAGGTTTTATTCTCATTGATGTTCTGTCACAGGTCTGAAATGGCTGATTTTCAATATTTCTTCCTCTGAAGTTCCTTTAATTTTTTTATTTGAAATAATTAAATATAAAACATGGAAGAATTTGATATTTAACCAAAGGAGCAATAAGATATCCTAACGGATAATAATTTAATAGAGGGAGGAAAGAAATACGAACGCGGCCGAGCTTACTCTAGCACTATAATATTATATTACTATACATGTGTGGTTTTCATAAAAGCTTTTTTGGTTTTTTAATATCTAATCGTATATATTACAGTGATATAAAAATTAAAATTTGTGCATATACCGGTACTTGAACAAATAAAAATACCCACAATGAAATATAAATAAATATCTAGGCCTTCTTTATCAGTAGCACTGTTATCGGGCTAAAATTTTTCATGACACTTAATTATTTATTATAACCTAATAAATAATTGAAACGCGCAGTCGTAATAGGAAATGAATATTGTCAAACGAAATAAATAAAATACATTTTTCTAAAGTGAATACCAATTTTGTAAATTTATTGAGGCTAGTCTGAGTTCATTGTGTTTTGTTAAAATTGTTGTATCGTCAGCGTAAGTAGCAGTCAACGTTTCGGAGGTGGTGGGCATGTCATGGGTTTAGATAATGTAGAGTAAAAGTGTCAATATTGATCCTTGAGGCACTCCTGCCGACACTAGTTGAATTGAGGAAGTTTCTAAGGGGACTGAGGTAAAAGTAGTGGGGAGACTAACCATACTGCTGGATAGGTTAGGTTACCTAGGCCTCACAACCATTATAAATTTCTGATTTTCATTATATGTAAATAGTTAAATAATTTTTCATATCCCTTGTTTATAATTTTAAACCATCTTCAACTATTTCTTTTAAATAGTCAAGTGGGCAACAAATTAAAAAAAAAATGTGGAAACTTCACAATTTACTTAAAGAAAAAAAACTTTAATGTTGTGTATATTTGTCAGTTCTTTTCTCATTTTCCTCAACAAATTTATTATTTTCGCAATACCTTCCTTAATTTTTGTAAGTAGTAGACTTATATTTTACTAACTTTTGTCAAAACGATTTTCTATGAGACTAACCTAACTACTAGATAGGTTAGTTTACCTAGGTCTCATTTTTAAGTAAATAATTTCATGAAAGTAAATAGTTGTTTATATACTTAGTCTATATTTTTATTAACCATTTTCAAATATTTTTTTCTTTAAATAGTCAAGTAGGCAATAAATTGAAAAAAAAAGAGTGAAAACTTCACAATTTACTTATAAAAAAAAATCTTAACTTTTGTGTTTATTTGTCATTAATTTTTCCATTTTTCTTAACAAATTGATTATTTTCGCAATACTTTTCCTAGATTTTTGTATGTGGTTGACTTATATTTTTCTAACTTTGGTCTGAACGATTTTCAGGTACTAGGAAGTAATTGTTATATCTCCATGTTTCTCTTGATGCCCAATATTATAAATGACAATGTCCAAATAAGCATATCTATGCTGTTTGTTTACAACTGAGCAAATTTGGCTTCAGCAACGATAAGTAATGATCAGTAATGATTGAACGTGTAGGGGTCTTCATGATCAAAGCGATACCGAGCAATCTTTGCCATTCTTGTGACGTTCATTCATGAATTACCGTGTAGGGTCCGCTTATGAGGTAGTATAGTTTTGTAAGTCCCTGGTGCCAAACTTTATAATGTGCCAGGGCAATATCAAGAAACATTCCGGTTGCATATTGTTTTTACTCTAGCGTTCCAGAAACATAGTCAGTAACTCTGTGTAATTGGTGTGTGTAGGAAATCCGAATTGATGATCAGGAATTTGGTCTGTCAGTATGTCAGTCAACCAGTCTTTTTTATATTAATTTTGGAAGACTTTATGACATATCGGAAGGAGGCTGATTGGTCGGAAGGATGAGGGATTGTGTACCAGGCGGTACTTTTTGTGTTTCATCTTTATATGTGAATATTTCCATTGTAGTGGGAATTTAGTTCTCGTCAGAATATAGTTGTATATTGTCGTAAGGAACACTAGAGCATTCCTAGGCATTTGCTGGAGCCCCTCGGCAGTTATTAAGTCATAATCTGGAGCATTTCTTTTCGGAAGATGTCTGATTCGTTGTGCGACTTGTGATAAGTGAACGAAAGAGGACGGGAGGCATCTGTAATGGTATGTCAACACTATCAAATATTAACGTTTCATGTTCTGTTTCGTATAGTCGGTAAATGGTGTAAATACTGATAAAAGATGGTCTGCATTTATCTTTAAATAAAATATATGAAGTTACTACCAGCATAGATGGTAGATATGATCATTATTAAATATTATTCTACGAAACGAAAATAACAGTTAATATCCGTACCTGAAACAGGTGGAACGGATTAGAAATGATATTCGCTCGACTGAACTAGTAATCCGGCTTAACAAATCTCTCGGCCATATTTTTCCTTGTTCCTTTATTCTTTTATTCAGAAATATTAAATAATTCTGTTCTAAACAATTTAAAACACAAATATAGTTTTTTATCCATATCGCCTTTGTATCTTATTGTACAGTACATTATTTTTAGAATATTAGTGTGATTAGTAAGTGTGATATAACTGAAACGAGGATTTGAAATCGATAATTGAAAAAATCAAATCCGATCATCAGGAGGTGACTGAAAAGGAGCTGGATGAGAGATCTCCTTTCCTGATTTTAAGATGGAAACAGACCAGGGAAGAGGTGCTGCTGGGTTCCATTCTTCGTTATGCCTATCATGTCATTTTCAACTTGATTGCAAATCTGCTAATTGTCACTACCATGACAGGTGCAGATAAAGAATTAAAGACAAAAAAAAAATCCAATCAAAATTTTAAAAAATAATTTAATTTTTTTTTTTTGCTGTTTTTTAACATCGCATCGACTTCCAGGGTCATTAGGGAAGATCTTTCTTCTTAAATATAACTTATTAATTTTATTTGTCGATTGTACCACAGCGTTTTTTCAATATCACTCTTTTCTTTGTATGGTGCTTTGTCATAAATTTGGAGTTCAATTTGCTGTTTCTGAAATTTTTTTTTTTGCACTGGAATGTGTTCAACGGTTTTAATTTTTATTTTTTATTATAAGTGATAAAAATCATTATTTTTTAAAAAAAATTTTATCATTAATAATATCAAAGTTCTTGAGTGACATTTTTTAAAATCATAAATATAATTTTTTTGAAATCCCTATGATATATTTTGAGTCTGGAGTATTAGTTGGATTTGTTGCTTTTTATTAACTACATATTCATTCCCAAAATTCATTAGAAATTTTGGCTTTTTTTTTTCATAGCCCCTTTATTATTTATTTTTGTCTTGAATCCTTGGATTTCCATTGTCTTTATAATAGTTCTTTTACTGTTTGGAAGCATTGTAAGGTGCATTTTTTAGTCGTTTCTGAGTATTTTGTTCAACATCTGTAATATAAAAGGTGATGGGCTCACCTCAGGCTTGAGTTGACCTTATCCTCTAGAACTTACAACTAAATTAATAAAACATCTTCATGTGATTTGTTGCCAACGTTTTGGAATTTTGGGTGGTAATAAGTTGTTGAATAGAGGATTTGCCAATTGTTGAGACTTTTCGAAAAATGATTTTTTTCGTTTTGCCAGAAATTCTTTTACTGTTGGTAAATTTAATGCTGCTTGTATATCCAATGTCTACATTCTCTGCATCGTGGTTCCTCTTACTATTTTTCGGATTATTCCATTTTGAAAATATTGTAATCTTTTCCCAGTTGTTTTGCTGACATGATCAAACAAAGGTGCATCATACAATATAGTCGGCCGTATTATACTTGTATAGATGAGGAGCTTTAGGCGTAAAGAAAGGTTTGCTGTCGTAATTAAATTTTGGAGTCTGTATGTCTTAGATCTTACTGTTAATTTGTTAATTTATTTGTCAAAATGTGTACTAAATTTTAAATGTTTGTCGAAGTGAATACTGAGATATGTTAAGTAAGTCGATAATTTAATACTGTTGTTGTTAATTTTGAATTTGTTTTGGCTGTTATATATTAATAGGGAGTGAGGTAGCTCAGCGGTAGGGCACTGAGCTTCCAATACAAAGGTCCCAGGTTCGAACCCCGGCTCATGGCAGAAAATTTATTTATCTGTTTCATTGGCCGTGGGGAGACCCTCCTGGGGCACACCCAGCCTCTATAAAGTTGGTACGCTTAATTAAATAATTGATTAAGGGGGGAAACCTGGCGGTTGAGCGTGAACTCGGTTAA